ACCCCGCACAACATGATCTACTCGACCACCAGTATGTTTACCGCAAAAAAAAAACACCGGAGGTAAAAAAAATAAACCGGTAACCTGGTTGCCGAGTTCACGAAGTGAATTGGCTTGTTTTACAACGTCGTTGCCAAGCGACGAAACCCAATCCCGACGGCAAACACCGGGGGGGGCGGCTTGTTTTACAACGTCGTTGCCAAGCGACGAAACCCAATCCCGACGGCAAACACCGGGGGGGGCGGCTTGTTTTACAACGTCGTTGCCAAGCGACGAAACCCAATCCCGACGGCAAACACCGGGGGGGGCGGCTTGTTTTACAACGTCGTTGCCAAGCGACGAAAACCCAACCCCGATGGCAAACACCGAGGGGGGCGGCAGGGGGGGGGGGGTATGCATGCCGTAGTCGGGGGGGCAATTAACGTGGGCAGGGGGGGGGCACCTTAGGATGACGGAACAGATACATACAGCTGCAATAAAAAAGAATGTGACAGGACCACTCTGCAAAGGAAGGCGATGGACAACCAAAGGCCAGGAACGCTCCCGGCTGAGCGGCAGCACAGGGCAGCAGCATACGAAAGGATTCTCCTGGGAACCCACCGGGTCGATTGGTACCGGGATCTCGCCTTAGGTCGTCATCCAGAGACGGCCAAATCCCAACGCCAATGAAATGCACACGACACAAGCCGCCTCAAGTAAAGGGGTGTTTTGATGGCGACGAAGGTATGTGAAGGGTGGAAGGGGGGAGAAGAGTGAGAGGTGTACCTCTTCTGAAGCTCGACGGTGGACATCGGTATCGGGCGTGCCTTGGTGACTCTCCTCGCCTCCACGCTGGTGACCACGGCAACTCCGTCTTCTACCGTCATCTCGTACAGGATCGTGCAGCAGGCGTGGTCGTACAGCCGGCCCTTTCGTCGTCGCCCCGAGTTTGGCAACAGGTCGTTGATCAAGGCACGGAGGAAGAGGAAATACGAGAGAAGAATCGTGGGGAAGGGTTTCGCCACGTCAAGGGGAGGGAAGGATGTTTGGGGTCATGGAAATGGCGGCTTCACCCCTTGCTGTGGGGGGCGATGCCACAACGGACGGTATGGCGACGTGCTCAACCGCACGCCTAGGGGCAGGCATCACCTTTGTTGGAGCATCGTTCAGCGACAAGGCCACTCCGAGTTCACGGAAGACTACTCACTCCCGGCTCCTGTGCCCTTGAACGACAAAAAATATGTAGGCACAGCATGAGGGGCACCGGTCGTTACGTTCACGTCGCTCGCGATGACACCGAGCTGCACAGAAGAGTCACGGTCGGTGAAATGTGTTTGTTGATGACCACCTTGTCACGCGGAGGCCCGCCCGAAGCGAGTAGGTAGGCGCATCTGCTTACGTCAACATCACAGATCACTTTTTCTCGCTCATATATCCTCCACACCTTCCTGGCGGAGACGAAACCTGAAGAAGAAAAGCCACAAAAATGCCCCTGCGCACTCGGAACGCACGCACTTACGTCACCCCCCACGCGATTTCGTTTCCCGTCTCTAGCTTTTTCCCTATTTCTCTTCTCTTGATTCTCACCCGCTGCCACGAAAAATCCGCCCTAGCCTTGCCTCCCGGGGAACGCGGGTCGTCCTCCGCGTACTCCATCTTTATGGTCCAGAATGCCTCCGATTGGAAAGCCTAATAGGGCCCCGAACCCCACCAGACGGTTCTTGACGCGTGAGCAAGATAGTGTGAGGAGACTCTCGGGTGTCGTGAAAAACCCGCAGAAACATGTGGACGTGATGGCTGACGTGCGTGCGTAAGGCGTGTCGTGCTCGCTGGTACAGGTTTTACTGTAAGCCTGTAACCACGGCGCGTGTTTCACACCGCGTCTTGGCGACTACGATTCATTTGCTGTCGATTTGCCCCGAAAAAAGCTTCGCACTCGCGTGACCTACGAGTTACCCGCACACATACATTCGCCATGGAACATGGACGGACAAATGCCCGCACACTGTGTTTCCGGTTACAACGGCAACCACAACCCCATTGCTGCTGTGTCCATGGTCTTGCCAGGCGATAAGTGACACTAGGCCCGAAATATCGTGGCAAGCTAACTATTTGGTGGAACTAGCCCACCTACAACATTTAGCTCACCCATGGTCACCAAACAGATGCTCATGAGCTGTTCGCCCGACAGTTCACCCTGCGGAGCATAAAATAGTTCTTGAGGCTTACTAGGGAGCCCTCCTCAAATCGACGTCATTCGTCAACCTAAGGAGAGCTAGCTGATCTGCCAGTCGATTGCAAGGAGTTGGGCTTATTCGTTGATAGTGTCGCAATCACCCCATACACAGGTCAAGCACAACAAGCAGGACCTCCAGAAAAAAGTGAACAACGCACACGATTCTAGAAAGGGAAAGCCGGCATTGTATCACACAAAAACTGTGCTCGAAATCTTCATTGCATCCAGAAACCATAAACTCCCCCCCCGCATACCGTGGAACTGATGCTGCTGCTCGCTCGCTGTCCGCTCTGGATAGCCCGGCCCCGAATGCCGACGAACTCACGAATCTCTCCTCCAACACACCGGTGAATCATTCATCCAATGTATGGTAAACTCCGCCATCTCTCCCGTGCCCACAACTTTGTCAAGTTTTGTCAGCACGAAACCAACCTTCGAAGTGTGCCAACCAAGGTGTGTAATCATTTGACTAGAACACCATCAGCCTCTTCCCCCACCCGCCCTGGATAAAAATGACCAAGGACCTTGTTCGCGGGACCCACGATCACATGACACTGCTGTGTGCAAGCCAGTGAGCGCTGTCTCTGTGATCCTTTCGCATTTCATTCACCTGTATTCTTTTGTAACGGTCGACGATGAACCCGAGGGTGGGGAATTGGCAGGGCCCGTAGCTGATCACCCCTTCCTGCAACTCGTCGAATCGGTTCTGCCGTTCCGTACCGCAACGTGCCGTGAGGTGACGTCATCGATCAATGAACGGTGTTAAGACACAAGTAAATTCCGGCATGGCGTGGGAAACCGTACGCAACAATTTCGTTTCTTTGGGCGCGAGGCATAGTGAAGCCTAGGTCAAGCGTGTCGCGTTCCGTCGCGTTAACTCGGCGCTCAGTACCGAACAACGTGGCCCGGCCGAGCGACGTTGGGAAATACACGCACACTTTCCAGCATCAAACCCGGGATCCACCGACAATAAGCTTCCACTGGTACACCTTCTCGTGCCTGGTGTTACATCATGGGCGAACTGTCGCAAAACACGACAGGGGCGCGTTGGCAAGTTTTGAACCACGTGGTCCTACGACGTTGTCCAGAAGAAGGCACATCGTCCTCTCTAGCCGTCTGCCCCTCTACCGTGCTTGCCTTTAGTCTCGTTGCGAGAACGGTTCAGCGTGGCCAGCAGTTTTCCGGTATCACCACTCAGCGGCATGGCGGACCAACGCCAAGAAATGAAACAGAAGAACAGAACAACACCCGCCGCGGAGCGACACCTGCCGCGGGGAGAGCTCCCCGTACCGAATATCTTTCGCCGAAAAACATCAACCACCCTTTGACTATCGTCCTCTGGAATTGCCGTAGCGACCATCGCCCTTCATCGTTCCCCGTGCAGGAAACGAATGAGCGAAAAACCGGAAGACACCTGCAATGGCGTTGTTCGGACCCGCGTCATGGCCGATCCCCCTCCACAAAAACTCGATTTTTCGCACCACGAAATACGAACACCACACATCATACCTGCAATCGCATCGTCTGGAAGCGCGTGAAGGCCGACCCCAACCTCAGGTCTATCTCCTGCCGGGCCTCCACGGCCTTCGCCTGGTGCTCGTTGGGCGGCACGAGGTTCTGTACGCTGTTGAGGATGTCCCGGGGGATCAGCGCGGAGAACCTGGCGCGGAGTATTCGGATGTTCCGGTTGCGCCGCTTGCACACCTTCCAGCGCAAGCACGGGCGCGCATGGGTGTATCGTACAACAAATAGGTGCAGTAGGGTGCGGGGGGTACTCGTCAGTTTCTATCCTCAGTCATTTGATGAATTCAATGACACTCCGCAGAACATCAGCAGCAGCAGCAGCAGCAGCAAGCAGCAGGAAAACAAACAAAGGAAAAGAGCAACTGCCACAACAAGAACAACAACAGAAGCACAGAACCACACCTCGATGACCTCATAGGCGATGTTCTCTCCCTCTCGATCGCAGTCTAGCCAGAGCACGAGCCACTGGCAGCCGCGCGCCTCGTCCACGAGTTGCCTCTCCAGATCTTTCTTATCCTACCAACAATAACGAAGATGCACCCAGCGCCGCCCAACCACAAACGCAAGACACACGAGCGAGAATAACTGCATATTAGCGAGGACATCAGCATCGCAGAGCCCAACCACAAACGCAGGACACACGAGCGACCACAGCTGCATTCGGCGAGGGCTTCAGCATCTGTCTGCCTCTCTCTCCTGTTCTGACGAACGATACATAGTCAGAAAGCGCTAGCAAAAGAGAGCAAAATCGTACCGTTCATTCTGTAAAATATCGTTCATCGCGGTAAGCAACATTGTGTCCAGGATTCTAGTTGCGGCGCGGGAAAGATTGAGAGCGGCGGAGCTTGCGGGGGTTTTATGCCGGATGGATGGCCTTATCACACTCTTCCTCGTATCATGCACGCAGCGCAGGAGGGGCGCCCGTGCTCTGTCGAGCACGCAGCACGCAAAAAGACGCTCTGCAGCTGCCACATGCTTTCAGCGTACACTTTGTGATGAGACAGCAACAAGACACAAACGCATGGACAGCACTGAAAGAAGTAGGTGGCTGTCCTGTGCGCTGTTGAAAAGACACCTCGTCCGGGTACAATCCCACCTCCCTGGGACAATAACGACGTCATCGTGAGTCGCTTCTGGCAAGAACATTGACGCTCTCGGGTCACTAACGCACCGCGTCGAGACGTGGGCTAAATATATCCGTCACAGGCCTACAATCTGCTGGATACACACCCGACAAGCGAACCAGTAACACTGATACTACACATCAATTCCTACACAACGACCACCGATTCCACCATCACCACCAACGCACAACCCACACGTTTGACACCCTGTTCTGTGATGCCGCACCAACAGCAGCCTCAGCATGCTACATGCGCCAACTGCGTGTCATGCAACAACGTCGCACGCTCGAGTCTCGGGAGTTTTGCGATCCTGGAATTGCCGAACGGATGGCGTCGCATCGTCTACGTGGCGAGCGCGAAATTGTTGTACATGTGTATGTGCGTTGAACAATCTATCCTGAAGCCAGTCCACACACGTTTCGGGCGTGCAGACATCCGATTGACGTATCAGCCGGGGGACCACACATCGGAGAATGGTTTTGAAAAGCGAAGAAGGACGGCTCGGGCCTCCCCCTTAATTCACAGCCATTATCGACTCACGTCTTTGACGTAGCGGATAAGGGGCGCCGTGAAAAGTTCTATGGGCTGGCACGCCCCCCACTTCTTCCCGTACGGCTCGGCGAACTCCAGCTCCATCAGGTGGCCCGTGACGGAGGTGATCTTCATGTTGACCGACTGGCCCATCATCGAACAGTTGTCGAACTCGAAGATCGGGTTGTACTGGCACGTCACGAAGAAAACCACCAGAGCCAAGTACGCGAGGTATACATGACGGCTCGTATCGGGCTCTTGCGTCAAACCGGCAGTTCAGGGGGATTGGACATGGCACGCCGGTGGTGCCGCTGTTGTCGAAAAAGCTGCCTTCCTCGACAACGTGTTTTCCACCGCGGCCGTGGTCGCCTTGGGTGCCCCTCTTGCTCGGAGATACAGCATTCTGGAGATTCACTACATACACGGGGTTTTGTGTGGCGTCTCCACAAGGCCTACGGCGCTGTGGGCCACACACACTGCCTTGCGTCGTGGTTTGGGCGCGCACCGATCATTCCGCTTCCCTTGTTGCTGCTCGTGTGTCGGGGCTGTCGCTTGCAGCAATAGCGGATTGTGGAGCCCTTCCAACTAATGTAGATACGACACCCCAGGCCAATGTGCGACCAACCTACTTCAGCGCCGGAAAGACCAGAAAAAGCATTGCCGGAAAAAGGCAACCACGCAACTCTGACCCCGGTCAGCGTGCAAGACACGCAGTCTAGACGATACGGCACAGCACGTTGCATGTAGACCGTACTTTTACCTGCGAGCGTCCTTGGCGCCTTCTGGAGTTGCCCCCGCCCAGGATGTTGGCCAGCTCCTTGGCCACCGAGGGCTTCTCCGCGACATTGATCGCCTTGATCACCGCCATCCCCACCCGGAGGTCCAGCACAACCACCGAGCCCGGTGTCCCAAGAAAAGCGACACTTTTCACGCCCCTGTTTTCATGCGACAAACGTTGTTGCCGTATGGGTGTTTCGAAGAGGGAAGGTGTGCACGAGAGATTGACCAATCACGGCCAAGGAATGGGTTCTGTGGCCTCGCGGCACGACCACGACCGAGACAAAAAGTCAAGAACGAAATCATTTAACAATCGATCGCACCCCGTGTGCGTTCAGGCGCACATTGTTACCGTCCCCGGTCATTATACAAGTACACTACCCAGGTTGGTTCATGTTCTGGGTTCCTACAGCAGTATATGTCTATCCCTACAACAACAACAACGCTTACACTCTAAACAGACAGCCTGCCTTCCTTTGATACGCACACAAGCCTGCAGCATGCAATACGCTTTTCATTGCTGCACCCAGCAAGCCATACGGTGTGCACGGGTGAGTACTGCTTGGATGGCACAGCAACTGCTGTACGTACATGCACAGGTTTACTGCACTTTACCACCTCGGAGAAAGACAAAAGAGAAACCTGAGGAAACTCCAGGGAAAAATCAAGGCATGCACGTGAAACAGGCGGCATTAGAATGATGGATTGCCCGAAAACTCAACAGCAGCGCGAGAGAGACAGCAGTCGAGCGAGGGCGTCACGAACAAGAGAACGCTACAAAGCAGTAGTTTCAAAGCTTGCGTTCAAATTTCAAACTGTGAGCGAAATTGCAGCCAAGGAATGCTTGGCATGAACACGCAAAAAGTTTGCCATTTATACAGACTACTACATAGGTGGATAACTCACCCACAGAGGAAGAAAAAAGCGCTCGTACGCTATCAGGGATGTGTGTGGGTGCAGCGCTTGAGTGCTTTGTCTCGCTGGTACTGCTGTGAGGCGGGTAGCTGTTGAAGCACGCGACTAGGAATTTCAGATGGGGTTAGGATTTTGTCCGTTGTGCCTCCAGAACACCATAAATGACATAAGATAATACACCCCCTGGACCGATTTTTCAAATCTCGATTGCTCAACAACAGAAAGAGTCACGGTGCCGAAAACGGTGCTGGAACCTTCTTATCAAGAGCTTTCCAAAAGTGTATCGTTTCGTTTATGAATTCTCTTCGTCGTGGAGTAATCGAGCTTTGAAAATTGGTCCAGGGGGTGTGTTATCTTGTGTCATATACGGTATTGAATTTACGCCGCTCTTCTGAGGATGATGTCATGATGTCGGTTGGTCTGTTGTTGGCCCAACGACCACAACTCCTCAGACAATGGGCAAGACGCACACAGTATAAGGCGGAGAGGAAACGTGAGTGGGCGTTTGGACACAGGTAGTGAGGAGTACGTTGCATGCGCAATAGTACCATGAGCCGAATAAAAGGGGTCTTGACGCTGGCTCTTTCCATATATTTAAATAATGATAGACGAAAACCTTCAATTGGCTTGCGGACCCTTCGGGTCCATTATGTTTGACTATACCTTTATTGGGTAAGTTAGCCTGTGACCACGGAATCGCTCGGTCAAGTGTTTGATCGGTGCGGACAGATGAAGGAACTGGGTACAGAGAGATCGGAACGGTTTGTTATAGCGATAGACAGTCTGGACCTCCGCTCCCCTCTACACACACTCCACGTGGAACAGAATGAACTGGAATTCAATATCACCGGCCAGAGAAAGAAAGGTACACCTGGTTCAATCTTGGTACTGCAGGGAACGAGGGAAGCAGGCTGGGTGTCGGTCTGTTTTGATGAGGACTGTCGAAGTTTGTAGGCCACTTACAGACGACCCTCGATATCACGACCATAGAAGCAGATTTGAGCGCGCGAACACCCTCCCCCCGCTGCTGTTGGATGTCCTCTAATAGTGACAGTACGAAGCACCCGGTTCCTGACAACACCGACCTTATTTCAGCGCCTGCCGTTTTGGCCCTATTGGCTTGAATTTTGATTAGCGTGAATGCTATTCTTGATTGCGATGGAGGCGTGCGTTTGGAGGCACAGTAGATGCGTGAAGTACAGTGCCGGCCCGCACCTAAGAACCTCCTATATTGGGCGAGGCTCAGTTCTTATTGGCTGCCCCAACCCGAGCACCAGTTCTTATTTGCCAAGTTCTATTTCGTCGTCCATTCTTCTCCAGAAAGAGGCGTTCTTGTTCTTACAGGATTTTAACATCATTTGCGATGTTGTCGGCTGTCAACCATGAGCAACACTAGTACTGCTGTCGATACAAGAAAATACCAAGGCATGGAGCAGCAACTGTCAACCTTCTTGGTCCACAAGGGTGACGTTGGTCCTGCGTACCCTTCCTGATCTACTAATGCTCTCAAGCAAAACCCAGGAGCCTACAGCCGCATCCGAATCTCCGCTGTACTTGTCAAAGGGCAACTTCATCTTGCGCTTACTCTGGTCTAGCTCCAGCTGCACACAGTAGTCGTACAGGTGGCGAGTGTCCTTCTGAGATTGTTGAGTGATCAGCCCTCCAAACCACCCCATGCCCAGCCTAACGAGCACTCCATGCCGCAAAAGAAATCTGTCAAGAGCATGGGTTTAGCTTCTTGAATACGAAAGCCTGCCGGGATCTCCATTCCCTGTATCTCATCCTCCGGGTCTTGTGGGTCCATGCTGTCGTCGTCGTCCAGAAGAGCTAGCTCGTCGGTCTGGGGTTGAGAGATGTCTGCGAACGAGGCAAGGGGAAACACAACAAGTTAGGGTGTCACGTCGCCAAACTCAACCTGAAATTATCATAATTTGAAAGTAACCGTGCGCGGAAACAAGCTAACGTCAACATGAAGGACATCGTCATCAACAAAAAGAAGATGAAGAGTTGGTTTAGTGCAAACCAAACTTACCGCCGTCGTCTTCATCGCTGGAGTCAACGCCCTCCATGAGCGTCTCACGTCCTCCATCGCCCTCCTCCGCCCGCCCCTCAGACTCATCGTTGCCGTTCTCCGAACCCCTTGTACAGTCGATTCTCTGCCTCAGGAAACCACCGCTTAGGCTGCTGTTTGGCGAGGAGGCTCTTCTTTACGTCATCGGCTGCCGCCGCGACCAATTCCTTCTCGTTTTTGGCCCACTTCACTATATTGCTGTAGGGAATCTTGAGACGATCCTCCAAGAACTGAAGAGGCGTGCGCTGCTCGTCCTTCCAGAGGTCTTCGGCGTTGTCCTGGAGGATGCGCAGCTGGTTGACAGCGTGGGCTTTGACCCTGAAGTCGTATCGCCTGCGCTTGGGAGCCCCACGAGTGTCCTTGGGTTTGCGGTCCATAAAGCCGTCGCTATCCAAGTCGAGATCGAGAAAGCGCTTCCGCTGGAGGACAAACGAAGCCGTCCCCGTCGCATGATCGAACTTCACGTGCCAACAACGCCCAGGCCCGGCTGCTTCCCACGGCAGGACACTCCCTCCGACATCCTTCCGTAACATGCGCCGCAGCCGCACGCCGTTGGACATGTTTGCACTGCTGTGCTGCGTTCTCACGTGGATCCCAAGGCCTTGCTCGTTCACGAAGGTCATGGGACAGTGAGGGCAAGATCGGCGTGACTCCGGGGTCGGAGGTGGGAAGCTTATACCGGATATGAGCTCTTTCACTCCACCGCGAGTCCGCTCAATCTGCATGGCAAGGTGGAAGCAGGGCGGAGATGCCGGGGGGGTGCTTCAACGAGTAACGTCATGTATCGTTCGCTATGGAGTGTGGCGCTTTCGACCTCAAACCTCCGTGGAGAGCCGAAAGCTGTCTGTTTCGTTCGTGACTATTCAAACTAAGTATGAAGCAGAGAACGTGCACTGTTGTGACGCCAAAACAAAGTCGCCGGCATCCAAACTAGAAAATCTGTCTACAATATTTTCTATTAATGTTCTGGTCTTGCTTGAAAAAAAGGGGGATGGACGAAAACTTTATCTTATCATGTCTACACAGCAGCAGCATTCCACGAATCTGAAAAAGGCACAACTTTCCGGAGTATTTGCACCGGAGTTGGCTCTTGCCAGCAGACGCAGTTGACGAGAACTCGACACTCCTCCACTTGCTTGGGCACCTACAGCAAGAAACGGCGTGCGAAACGCAGTCGTTGCCAGCAGAGGCCAGCCCCAATACTACGAACTGTCTCTCTCTTTTTTTTTTTTTTTCGCGCCGCTACTGAAAAAAAATGGCCCTCATCATGTCATCGAGTTTTTCTTGAAAACCGAAAAAGTGTATGTAGACTACACCGGTAGCGAAAACTAACTGTGTGCTCACCGGTCCTCGGCTGCCAATCGCGAACGCGTTGCAGATGTTGCCGTCTAAAGTGCCTTTGGCAGCTCTCTCCCTAGCTTGCTTCCCGCGATCCACGGCCTTTCTCCTCGCGGTACCTGCAGCAGCAGGTGGGTGCTGAGACGGCGGTGCAGCACCTCGCGCGCTGCCGGCATCTTGTTGGGATGAAGAGGATAGGCGGGTGCTGCTGGTAATACCCTGCGTTTCGCCGTCAATCTGCGTGACCCACTCTTCGTCGTCGAAGACACCGTTCTGCTTCAGCCCCCACGCGCTCTCGATGGCGTCCCATCGCTTCTTCGCAACGGAGTTGCCCGCCTTCACGTGTGCTTTGATTGTCTCGAGGTGACGGTCAAGAATCAGACCCCTCTGTTTCAACTCTGCAAGTTTGCCAAGCTTTCAATATCCCATGGGATAAGGGATTGCACTGGGACATGATCCCCCTGCACCGCAGGCAGCACGCTGCACGTTGCGTGGCACGTACGCTTTTCTCGGGAGCACCCAGGGGCACGACGCGTGCGTACAATGCCCACCCTCCCCCTCTAAAAAAATACAAATATTGATATGTGGGGTATGTACCCCTCCCAAATCCAATACTCTCTACCCTGGGATCACTCCCCCCTCTTCCCTCCCTTCCCCTGCGAGTATTCTTATCTGGCAGCCGCTGCATTGCCGTCGTTCTTATATGTAGCAGCAGTTTTGCACCTCTNCACTCCTCCACTTGCTTGGGCACCTACAGCAAGAAACGGCGTGCGAAACGCAGTTGTTGCCAGCAGAGGCCAGCCCCAATACTACGAACTGTCTCTCTCTTTTTTTTTTTTTTTCGCGCCGCTACTGAAAAAAAATGGCCCTCATCATGTCATCGAGTTTTTCTTGAAAACCGAAAAAGTGTATGTAGACTACACCGGTAGCGAAAACTAACTGTGTGCTCACCGGTCCTCGGCTGCCAATCGCGAACGCGTTGCAGATGTTGCCGTGCACGTGTTCTTATCGGTAAATTCTTAAGTTTTGGATTTTTTGAGCATCAAATTCGTAAGTGCCATATTCTTGATTGCGGGCCGGCACTGTATATGCGTTGAGCGACCTCTAGTGCCGCCGTTTGCGAGAATCAACGGTATATACTGTGTTCCCGATTCCTTCCGACTGGTCTTGTATGTCTTTATTATTAGCATCGACCGCGCGAACCGGCTGACCAATTAAAACACGTCAGTGCCAGCGGGTAAAAATTCTTGTATGTCTGTTGTGCGCTTTTCTGGTGCTCTCGCGATTTTTTTATTTTTTATTTAGTACTGTATTAGTCAACCATCAAATTTCTTCTTGTTCTTCACTCCCTTCGAATTGAACTTCTTCTCTCCAGGTGTTCCGTCATATTTTTACACAGCAGTGTTCTTCGTGATGGGAAATGATGGGCGCGCCTCCAGAGTGGGCTCATGAGAGCATAGAAATACAGTCGACGGTCCTCAACAGTAGAGGTTTTGGTGCCGTTAACCAGGGCAGTGCCGCTATTCCTCAATAACGGTATCAATATCGCTAGAAATTGAGGAATAGCGGCAACATGCTGCGTTGCCTATGTTAGAATGCACTCATTGAGCAGCACAGTGATGTTCTCCGGGACTTTTTGTCCGTTGCTCCCCGGGACCAAGTGTGCCAAAAATCAGAGCGCCTTGCGAACCACCACCAAACAGTAGGGCCACACTACACGCCTCGAATTGCACCCTGTTGCTGGTAGATATTCCAACTCATCGAGCTTGAACCCCAGGTTCCACTTTGAGGGTGTCTGCACCAGGTGTGACACACAATGATTGTTCATTGCTGCAGTAGTCGAACCTGACCCGTCAGATGATATCAGGCATCATTTCCAAATGCATGACCGCTTGGAAACGTGAAAAAAGAATATGCAGCCGGACAAGCGAAATTTCTGATCCTATCAGAAACTTATGATCCTTCAGAGAACGGTTTTATCCGGAACCGTACAAATTCGGACTGGGGCTCCGCATTTGTAACGGCCTCGAGGGTGCTTGACCACTTCAACACAACGTGGTGCGATCATGCCCCTAGCGCGGAGCAATGGTTCTCCACCCCGCACAACATGATCTACTCGACCACCATTATGGTT